ATGTGCTAGTTGTAATGTAACACAATATATTTATTGACAAAATAAAATGTAGACAATGAATTCTTCCCAGTCTAATTTAACCATGTCTAATCTAATTTAATCGTAATGTGAAACTTTACTTTGAGCCCAAATAGCAATTTGTTATTGATCCCAAATGCATAGAAAATACAAGATCGTCTTTAAGGAAAATGAGATGGGCTACCGCACAAAACTCAAAATTTATCAAAGTAAAAGTGTGACTAAATAAGACCTCAGAAAATATTATCACGATTAAATTGTAGTTAAACAAAATCTGTATTGATATTATCATACTTAAACTTAAGCTAATCTATACATGAGTTCCAAAAATTTGAAACAACTTTAATCCAAGCTAGTCGAAGCAATGGCCATGAGCTTCATGAAGAGAAACACAATGAAATAAATATATGGCTTAGGAAGAAAAGATGGAGATGTCCCTACAATCAATTTGAAATGAAGGTTGAAAAGTCAAAGGTGAAATCAAAATGATGGTAAAGATATCATTGCAAAGATTCAATGAGTTAGTTTCCAAGAACTTAAGAAGAGACATATGCTTTACTCAATTCTTGAGGAAAGATTTTATTAAATCAAAGCTAAGACAAATGAAGTTACAAAGCTTACATAACTAAGGCAAGTCTTCTCCATTTCCTAAAAGGGGCTTATCTAGGCTCCAATTACTAGGACCATACCTAACTATGCTAAGTGTAAAACAACAAAAATATTATATTCTCTTACACGTATCTTCAACTAAAATAAATAAAAATAATAATAATGAACATATAAACAACTAGACTGCAACTTCCTCTACAAAATGGACTTAGAAGAACCGAAATAACTGACACTTTCTCTTCAACTTTGGCCCTCTTTTTCCTAGACCTTGTTAAAGCCTTCCAATCTTTTCAAGTTCATGTTATAGTCCACTTTAGATGCTTCTTTGAGATCCTCTTCACCACCCATAATGAATTCCTTTCCAATGGAATAAATAAATAGCTAAGATTACCATTTGAAAGCATGTCATAATGCTTAACTTTTCCTTCACGCAGAATTTGATCCGAAATCAATGCCGTCTACTTTATGTATAAACACTTGAGGAGGCTCTACTCTTCTGTAAGTAGCAAAGAGCAAGAGATGTAATCAAATGAACCAAAATAAAAGTAGTAAAAACTTCATGGTTCGTGAAAATGAAAAGTTATAAGAACTACTCACTTTTCTTTTGCTTCTCCTAATGTATAACTCGATGCTACAGCTAGAAGCTGTCCCGAATGGTTGTAAGATAAGGATGCGACACTATTTGAATATCTAGGAAACTGAAATTGAGAAAAATGTAACAAAGCAAGAAAAATACTGAGCTGATGACGATCATAACTAACTAGCAATTCACGAGTACGACGGTTGGTTGGCAAATACCTCGATCAATCTTTTGGTACTTCTAGCATCCCATATGGAAACATAACCCTCATCATTACCGGTGACAAATGAACCAGACACACTAAACAGAAATTATACAAATCAATCTTCAAGTTCTATAATTTATAATAGTTTAAAATGGCAGCTTAATGATAAGAAGGTGCATACAGTGGACTGAACGCAATGTCATTTACAGATACCAAATGGTGTCGACCATCCTTTGATTTCGGATGATATCGGAATGCATATCTGTCAGAGGTTGATATAGCAAATTATTAGAACTTGTGGCTGATGTTGTTAGTGAGAATTTTCAAAGTCCCAACATTCAACATTTTTATTCAAGTTATTAGAGAGGTTGTGTTAAATACGCATACGAGAAATGGAAACAGACCCAATGTCATTTAAATTTGATGAATTTGAAACATGCAATGCAACCCGTCCATCCACTGATCCGGCTGCAAATCCTGCAAGATCACTAGTCAATGTAACCCCGTGTTTCTTACTATTTGCATAGCTTTTAGGACATGGTTAACTAATCAATAATACTGTATATTTTGACATGGTTAAAACCTAATACATACGACATCTACATAGTAACGGGTTCCTGGATTGGGAAAATAAAATCATATAGATTTGATAGTACATACATACCTTCTGCATAAGGAATCAAACTGACACATCTTAATTGTGCACCACTACAAGGCTCCATTGACAAAGTTGGTTTGTCAAAGTTTCGTAAATCAAAAACATGGGCAAATGCTCCAATGCCTACGGTAACCTTAAACCCAGAGACAGACATGGATTCTATCTCTGCATCTAAACTCCTCAACAATGAAGAAGCCTTCTTCGTACGAACGTCCCATGACAATAACTTGTTGTCAAATCCCGAAGTAATTAACAAACCTGCAATAAACAAGATAATAATATGAACTTATTAAACACCTGTGTTATAGAAATATATCTCAAAGGTTGAGAAATGGTCAAATGCTTATGCATAAAAGTACAAAGCCTGAGAAGTGATCCTTGGGATGCAGAGATTTGAACAGAAAACCTCAAGTGGTATCAAAGCTTAGTTTATAACAATAACAACTAACATGTAATAAGTTATTCATTTCGCATATTCATAAAACAATTGAAAAAAAAAGTTAAATTTTATAACCGAAACAAATAGAAACAAGGAGCAAAGGTTAGGTAAGAAGCTTACATGTTTCATTGGAATATCCAATGCATGTTGCCGTGTCATCGTGATTACCCATTTGGTCAACAATTCCAGAATGCAAGTCAAACCTATAAATTAGAACTTAACAGAGGTCAAAAACAAAGTAAGGAAAAAGCAAAACACACATGCATCATCAACAAGAAAAGCTCGTAACAAAAAATCACTAGGATTCTAACAGAAAGCCATGTTTTTGAGGGCCACCAACTACAACTCAACAAGATGGAATATAACACAAAATATGCTAAACAATCCACTCAAAGGATAGTTTAGAATCTAATACTCCATTTTCCATTTGCTCACAAAATTTTGACTATTTAGAATCCAGTACCTTTGACTGGTTTTTTCTGTCATCAGCTACCAGAAAAAAATATTTCTTAACAAATAAACCCCAAACTTTTTCTTACCTCTCACTTACAATCTATGAAGCATGGACACCCCAACGCTGACACGGCGACACCGATAATAATTTGAAAAACTGAATAAATTAAACGTAATCACAAGTGATGGTGCAAGTGTCCAACACCTCAAAATAAAAGCTTTTCATCATAAAATTTTAAAATCAATAAATAAAAAGTTAAAAGAAAGTAAAAAAACAATATACTATAATGCTATCTTTATTTCTTATACAGAACAATTTCATTAGACTTAAATGTAAAACTTGTTTACAGTAACAATAATGCATGTCTTTTAAATTTAAGTTTTGAATTAAAAATATAGAAGAACATAAGTGTTTTTTGAAAGGGGCAAATCTATGTCATTCATTTTATTAGCAATAATTATACCAAAAAATTCCATTAATGTCGTTACTAATGAAAAAATTGGGTGTAGATTTTCCCCTTTCAACCATAACAAAAAAAAAACAAGGGATAGAAAGGGAAAACCTTCTGATAAATCCACCAGAATCAGCTGCGAAAGCAACTGTATCCTCACCCGTGAAGCAACAATCAACCAGAGCAAATTCTGAAGGAGATTCGAGTCTGAGAACGGAAGCGTCGAAATCATATAAACGAAGACACTGAAAAACCCTTGAAATTATTTAGTGAAGTGAATGAATACTTCAATTAACAAGAACAAAGAAAGAGAGAAAAATAAAACTTAACAGTATCCCAAGACGAAATGAGAAGGTTGTTAGAGTGAGGAGCAAATTGAATTCCGGAAATAGAGTTTCCAATTGGAATCTCCAACTTCGATTGCGAGCCATTTGTGTTCATTTTTCAGTTCTCAGTTTCAATTGTACTTTGAACCTTTGAAAACTAGTTCTTGGCGCTTTTGTGTCTTTTCCTAATTCTTTTGTTGGGGAAACATGGTACTAAATATTACAATACAGTTTTGGTAAAACAAGTCACAACGTGTGGATCTGTGGCGCAATGGTAGCGCGTCTGACTCCAGATCAGAAGGTTGCGTGTTCGATTCACGTCAGGTTCACGTTTTTTATATAGTCCACTTCATTCCAATGACAAAAAAAAGACACACTTTCACTACTTCAAGCACTGCTTGTATTTTAAAATGAAAAAGATTAATTTCAACCTCCTATAATATAAATATATATTATTAAAGATTAAAAAATAGTTAAAATCACAATTTCTTTAAATGATGTATCTCAAAAATAATTTTAAAGAAAAACTATTTAAAATTAATTAAATTTTAATATCTAAAAAAAGTTATAACAAAAAGTGGAATATCTAAATTAACATTTTAAAAATAATTATTTGAATCTATTTACATTAATTTTTTATTTGAAGTTTTTTCTAGAAATTTCTTTGTAATTCTTTTAAACAAAGATATATAACACTACAAAAACTGAAACAAAATTTTAACTGTTAGTTTAGATTATACAAGACGGGTTGAGTTTTATTTCTCTTTCTCAGCTCTAGGAAATTTCTTTCACAGGGCAAATATAGATGAACGTATAATTCATAAGTTTTTCATACATCTTCTATAATTATTTTTTGGTTTACTAATGTTCACTCAAGAAATTTCAAGGTTTCAATCATGTAGATTCTTCATGACTTGAGAGGAGAATCGATGGTTTTGGCTACCTAAGGAAAAAATTGATTATTTTGGCTCAATTAATCTGCATCTCCTCAGGCTTAAACTATCAGCTATCTCTTGTAGGCCAGTGAGAAACAACTACAAACTCCATTTATAATAATGATTCATACAAAAAACAACAAAACCCTATCATAAAGTTAACAACAGTGCATCAAACCAAACTAACAGATAAAAGGTGGTACAAAACTTCTCATCAAAATCTAGTTGCAGATATATACAGCACTCCAAATTGGCTTCACCGGTAAGGGTTTCAAACTCTACCTTCTGAGAAAGAAATTGAGATTCAAGACCCTCTGTTTCAAAATCAAGACGTTTCATCAGGAACATAGAAATCAAATCTAACATCAACAGATCCTGAAATATCTCCAGTATCCTTATACTCAATATTTGTTATTGTCCCAGCTTCATCCACCTCTTGATATTCTGGCTTAACCCGCCGTACAGGCACTGTAACAGAGTAAATGGTTCCAATATCTGTATCTGCAGAGACACTCAACTGAACTTTATCCTGTGACTCAATTTCCACAAAATCTGATAGTGCGTGCACAATGTTGTTAACGATTTTTCGCTTTGCCTCATCACTTACTTCACATCGGTCAGAGAATAGAATCATTTTTAAACGTTGCTTGGCAATCCTAGCATTGGAGCTTCTCTTAGACACTGCTGATGGGAAAACTATCTTCCAAGCCAAATTTAGACGCTCAAAGAAACTCATATTAACAGCATCAAGGAGAAAGTTCTCGGCTTCTTGGCTAACTGACTTTGATGAAAATTTAGAACCTCCAAGGACTGCAAATACTGGCTTGTAATAGCCACGCATATTGCTTCGTACAGTGGCCATGGTAGAATGTTTTGTAGTGAATTCAGATCTGCTGGATCCTCCATTTAAGAAACAATGAAAGTCCACCTATTAGACATGGAAATTAAGATATGACCAGGACGTCATTTTCAACATTTTATAAATCGTGTAAGGATATTTATTTGCGAAAACATGAACATTTATCAACAATGTAACATTTTAGAAGTCAAGCCTCAACTAACTAAAACAATTTCAGCGATAAATATAATTGAATAACATTTTATAGAACCTTTTTCCCCTATACAAAATATCAGAAAGGAAAACAGATGTATCATGTATCACATTCTCTTTTAGCAACTAAAGTAAATAGCACAAAAATGGAAAAATGCTAAATATATATTCTCCAATTTCTCTATGGGGAGAATCCTGACAACTATAGATTACACATACTTCAATCAAATGGAATAAGATGGAAAAACAGTTATGCATTCCACTTAGACCTGTTCAAAATTATATAAGAACTGCGCCAAACCTATGAACTGCATCAAACTGGACTTAAAATAACTGACTTGTTGGAGCAATTCATGAACACAAGGCACCTTTTAAAACTTGATTCGGAACTGAAACTGCTTCAAAACAATATCAGCGAACCAAGTCAGTAAAGTGTAACGGAACAAATAATGTCCACAGCCTTAAACTTATTACACCGACTTAAAATATTATCAAATGCTGAGACATATGGAGAATATAATGTATTAATATTTATTAAATATGACTAAAATTTGTTAAAATTATATTGACTTATTTTAAATATGAATAATGGCCACGGAAAGAAAAAGTCAAGGTGCGCCTACTTTTATCTTTTGGTTAGTCACCAATTCACCGACTAGCCATTGTATAATTATTCTTAAAAAAAGTGAGTCTTACGTCCAAAACTCTTGCTGTGTACGGTTACTGCACAAAGAAAGCTATCGCATAAAAAATCTAGCGGATCAGTTAAGTTCAGTTCCATTTGGAAGTGTTTACAATAGTTAACCGACTTTAAGAATCAGTTATAAATAATGAATTAACTTCTAGTTCAGTTCAGTTTAGTTCAGGTTTTCCCCTTGAACTGAACCATGGCCACCCCTAATTCCATTGATACTATGGGTCTTTAGGGCCATGAAATAAATATAGTTGCAAATTAATGAATTGAGGTTAATCAACAATCATGTAGAGTGTCGACAGTAACATAACAATATAACATCTCATTGAAACTTTGAAACCCTTTTCCCCTTTATTTTTTTCACTCAAACATGTGATATAATTTTCAACGAATTCTATCTTCTGCAAAAGCATCCATAACAAAGAGTACCATGGTTAGTCTTCACGTATTGATGGTGAGTTTGGCACATTAATAATCGGCTGCTGAATTTTCGGCAAAAAAAAACTAAACTTCAGAACTTCAAGAAAATCACAATGCCACATTAATTTTGCAAAACTCACCATCAATCCAAACACGCACTTTAAGTATGATTTCAAGAGCAACATTTTAACTAAATTTTCAATTATCATCATAATCACAATTTTAAACCTGAATACAAATAATATTGAGGAAATTTTTTCATCTATTTACAATCATATCATGCTAATTGCCAAACAAAACTGAATGCATGCATCAAAATAGCGTTTATGAAGCTCGAATTTACAGAAGCTATAATGAATTGAAGTAAATACTAAAATCGAAACCCTAATTCGAGGGGAAAAGGAACGGAACCTTTTGAGGAAGGAAAGAGGTGGTTGGAAGAAGAGAGTGAGAGCGATAGAGTGGAAGAGATGATGTGACTCTAAGGTCGCCGGAAATCGCCATTGTTGACAGCTTCGGATTCTGCTGCTTTTCCCAACGAATTTTCAGTGCTTCTGTTCACTGTCGCTGGTTGTACCCTATTTGCCCCTCGGTTCACCCGTCCGTCCAACACGTCGTCGTTTTGCCCCTTTTTTGGATCACAAACATTTTACTCCTAATTTATAAGTAGTTCAGTTTCACACAGATTAATCATTAAACTGGATTAACTGCTTTTTTTTGTTGTTGTCATTTTTGGTTTACATGAAGTTTTGATCTTCTAATTTGGACATTAAATTACTTTTAATTACTTTCTAATCATTAATTAATATATGTTTTTAAATGAGTTAATATTTAATATGTGTATATATGTATTACATTCCCTTACCGTTAAGGTTCAATATAATACATTTCAATATGTATCTATTAATTTTATAAACATTCAAATTTTACATAACTACATATTTGTACACATATTTCAAGTGATAGACATACCATAGACAATGTTGATGCTAGTCGGCATTCTGATTCAAGAGATAGGAACTTTGGCTCATGAGATGTTGATGCAGTATCTAAGAGAATTCATGTACAAGAAAAGAAAAGTAGGAACAAGGTCGAAACTATACTAAAGTATACATTTAATGTAATTAATAAAAAGAAAATGCATACCCTAATAACAAGCTGGTGTAAACCAATTTCACAATAGCATTAACGTGTGAAAGATTCTTTATGTTGCTGCAAGTTATTTATAATGAATCAATTTTCTGTCAAACAAATCATGGAGGATTGTTTTGTTTTGTGAAACATAAGAATTTTGTTTTGTCTCACATCGAAAGTTTAGCTAATATTATACGTATTCATAAACATAGCTTAATGTCAATTGGGTGTGGGATGGTACTGCAATAAAACGAACTTTGGCCAAAAAACATTGTTTCAATATCTTAATTAATTAATTTAATAGGAAAACTTAATTAAGATTATAAAATATTACTTTATTTTTAAAAAAACCTATTAATTAAACAATTATCTAGTGATGCCGCCAATGTATTTAAGTTTTTTTTTTTAACAATTCAGAATCTTTTATCTCGAATATGTTAAAAAATTGAGAGTATATGTTCTGGGAGCACTATATTTAATTTTTTTAATAAAATAAACATGTTACCTTGGCGTTATAAAAAACTGAGGTAACACAACTATAAGTGAGCGTCATTTTTTATACATAAAATAATAATAAAGTTGTTCTCTCAATTTTTTGGAGAACCGGGATAATATAGCTATAAGGTATCTCGCTTCGAATCCTTGTTATCACATTTGAAAATTTTTTCTACGATTTATCACTTGACGTCTTTTCTAGATTCCATATTTTTCTTTATTAATTAGTAATTCTCAAAATCTTTGTTATCGATAAACAAGAATGTCTTGTTAAATTGTAATTCATATGTGTCAAAATTAGATTTGATTTTGTTTTAGATTTAAATAGATTTGAATTTAAGTCTAGAATAGATTTGATTAGATTTGATTTAGTAAAAAGATATTTTGGGCTTGGGTTTTAGCTTAGGGAGCAAGCTAACCTAAATCTATAAATAGAGGGAGTAACCCCTATTTTTGTAATCAAGTCATTCACAGTATTTTGCAGTTGCAAAGTGAATAATAAAATTTCCACAGTTTGTGGGCAGAGAGAAACTCTGCAGAAATATCCCTATTGTCTTTTCTTTGTTTGTCTCATAACTAATCATCAGTGGTGGTCGAAATTCATCATTGAGTATTGGTGGATTTCCAACATCTGATATCAAGAGCTTGTGTTTCGATTCAAGGGAAGTATCAATCAAGAACGATTGAAGAATTCACGATGACAAGTTATGGGAATGCAAACTATCCAGCAACGCTGCCAATTCTGAAAGTTGACAACTATGAGAATTGGTGCAAGCAGATGAAAGTCCTATTAAGGTGTCAAGGTCTTTGGGACCTTGTAAAAGATGGAGTCGAAGCGCTTGGCGAAAACGCTTCAGAAGAAGAAAAGAAGAAATATACAGAATCTGAGAAACAGAGTTATAAAGCATTATTTATAATTCATCAATGTGTCAGCCCAGACAATTTCGAAAAGATTAGTGATTCAGAATCTGCAAAAGAAGCTTGGGAGATCCTTGAGAAGTCTTTTGGAGGCGCTGAGAAGGTGAAAGAAGTGAGGTTACAAACTCACAAAAGAACCTATGAACTGCTTCAGATGGAAGATAGTGAAAACATATCTAATTTCTTCACTAGAGTTACAAAACTAGTGAATCAAATCAAGACATGTGGAGAAACATTAACAACAAGAGTTGTTGTTTCGAAGATCTTGAGATCTTTAGCTCCTAAGTTCGACCACATAGTGGTGGCGATCGAAGAGGGGAAGGACTTGTCGAAATTGACAAAGGAAGAGCTTCAAGGGACGCTCGAATCTCATGAACAAAGAATGAACGAAAGAGCTGCAGGAAAATCGAAGAGTGTTGTGGCCTTGCATGCACATTCAGCAAAAGAGACCAAAGGCAAAGGAAAGTATTTCGACAGAAGTAGAGGTGGCTACAACAAATCGAATTGTAGAGGAAACCAAATCGAAGGAGACGTGTCGAATCAAAGAAGACCACACCAAGGCAACCAAAGAGGTGGTGCTGCAAACAGAGGAAGAGGTGGTGGTCGAAAACCTGATAAGAGTCACATTCAATGTTACAATTGTCAGAAGTATGGTCACTATTCAAGTGATTGTCCAGAAAAACGAAAGAATCAAGAAAGTGATGCAAAGCTTGCAAAACATGAAGAAGAAGAAGAGATGATGCTCATGGTCACAACAAGAGATGAAGATAGATTCAAGGACCAATGGTACTTGGATTCAGGATGTTCATCACATATGTCTGGAAGGAAAGACTGGTTCGTCAATATAAAACCCTCAACGAAGAATATGGTAAAATTTGCAAATGACAACACCCTAGCAGCAGAAGGTATTAGTGATGTTATGATCATGAGGAAAGATGGCAAGAAGTCAGTAATTTCGAATGTATTGTACATACCAGGCATGAAGAGCAATTTGCTCAGTATAAGGCAGTTGGTCGAAAAGAATTACAAAGTGTCAATCGAAGATAAGTTGATGAGAGTTGTTGATGCAAATGGGAGAGTAATCTTGAAGGCTCCTATGTCTCAGAATCGAACCTTCAAGATTGAACTAAATGTGATGGAGCACAAGTGCCTTTCGACTGCATCTAGCAGAGATGAATGGATATGGCATTATAGACTTGGTCATCTCAATTTCAGAGACATAAGAGATTTGAAGAGAAGAAATATGGTTTCAGGATTGCCTGAAATTGACATTCCAAACGAAGTATGTGAAGTATGTGTGCAGGCGAAGCAACACAAGAATAGCTTCAGCAAGGATGCAGGAAGCAGATCGAAGGCTAGTCTCGAAGTCATATACTCTGATGTATGTGGACCAATCCAGGTGGATTCGATGGGAGGTAACAAATACTTTGTTTCATTCATAGATGATTTCAGTCGAAAGTTATGGACTTACCTGATCAAGAAGAAAAGTGAAGTGATTGAAGTATTTACAAAGTTTAAGTCCATGGTCGAAAGACAAAGTGGTCGAAAGCTCAAAGTTTTGAGAACTGATGGTGGAGGAGAATATGTGTCGAAAGACTTCGACAGATTATGTGAAAAGGAAGGGATTGTGCATGAGGTGGTGCCACCCTATACTCCACAGCAAAATGGAATTGCATAAAGGAAAAATCGAACCATCATGAACATGGTGAGAAGTATGTTGAAAGGCAAGAATTTACTCAAAGAGTTCTGGGGTGAAGCTGTTTCGACTGCAACATACATTTTGAACAGATGTCCTACAAATAAGCTAGAAGGAATTACTCCAGAAGAATGTTGGTCCGGTGTGAAGCCTAGCTTAAGTCATCTGAAAGTATTTGGATCTATTGCACATAGACATGTGCCAGAAGAGTTGAGGAGAAAGCTTGATGACAAGTCAAGTCAAATGATTCTAGTTGGATATCATTCGACAGGAGGCTACAAATTGTTCGATCCAGAAAACAAGAAGATTGTGATCAACATGGACATGATCATAGATGAGTTCAAAGAATGGGATTGGACTGCAAATGTCAAGAAAGATTCAGTGGGAATCTTATTCGAAGAGCCAGAAACTCAAGTCGAAAGAGAAGTTCGACAAGAGGAGCCAACAGATATACCCAGTACAAGTAGACCTCAAAGAACAAGACGCATGCCTGCAAGATTGCAAGATTGTGTGATTACATCAGATGATGTGATAGATGATGAAGGTGAGCTGGTACGTTATGCTTTCTATGCAGATGTCGAACCTGTTAATGCAGCTGAAGCATTAAAGGATTCGAAGTGGGTGAAAGCAATGAACGAAGAAGTAAAGTCTATCGAAGACAACAACACTTGGTCACTTGTCGAATTTCCTTAAGGCAAGAAGGCAATTGATGTCAAGTGGGTATACAAAGTGAAGACTGTGATCGGTGGATCTGGAACTGACTGTTTTAAAGCTGGTTCGCGAAATGTCGCGGTAAGCAAGAGTCGCCACCGTCTTTTATTTTCTCCAATAGGAAAGGACAAAAGCACAGAAAAATTCCTTTAAAGAGATTGCTCTCGGTTCGGGAGGTAGGTTATAGAAAGGGAAGGTATTAGCACCCTTTCTATCCATGGTTATCCATGGGCTCTTAGGTACTTGCTCAATGTGTTTTCAAAATGTTTGTTTGCTTTTCAATGTGGGTTTCAAAAATATTCTTTGAAAAGTTTCAGTTCAACTCGTACGTCAGAGTGTTTGAAAAGTTGGTTTTGAAAGTTTTTGAAAGTGTGTTGGTGTGAAAAGAGTTTTTGTTTTGTTTGAAATTAGAGCAAGTACCCTTGAGAACCTACCTACCCTAAGGAATTAGTCTGTGTAAATGTCCTTTAAGGTAGTGCCATCCCACCATTGAGAGGTAGGTAGCACCACCGTTGGAGGTGTTCGGGTCAATTCGAGTTTTAGGGACGTG